AATGTTTCCAAAGCCGGGGATTCCCGAACTCTCAAATTTTCAAAGTCAGGGAACTCCCGAGTTCCCAAATTTCCAAATTCGGGAACTCCTGAGTTCCCAAATTTTCATGGTCCAGAACTCTCAAATTCTCCCATGTCCAAATTCCGGGATTCCTCAAATTTCCAAAATTGGTAATTCCCCAATTCTCAAATTCCACACTACACCCTCTCCATCAGTCCTTCGCTATTGCCTTCACTCCCGATGAAATTAGAACTATGCAAATGGTTTGGAACCGTGTCACAACGAACGCAGACCTTGAACAGTAAAAATCGACCAGGGCTATAGGCGTCGGTGAAAGTTCACGGTGGGTTTCGACGCAGACGCCATGAGATGTCGTTCTCGCGACGGGCCAGCGTATGGATCGCTATCGGGGTGGCTGCCCCCGCATACCTCGAAGTAGCCCCGGTGCGGAACAGTTGCTCGTCGCACGTGTCCCCGCGACTCCATGTTAACAAAAGGCTCGTTCGTGTGTGTGCCGCAAGCACACGCGTTCTCGTGTTCCTCCACGGTGTCTTAACACGAGGCTAACCCTGCCTTTTCACTCAGAAACACTCTCCCTGAACGTAAGTTTACAAAAAATTCCAGAAAAGAACATTTTCCACTGTGCGTTCGTACTCAAAACTGGAACAAAGATGGTTCGATTCCTAATTTCCATCTGGAGACAGTGAATCAGTTTTGTGACACGTCAAATTCGAAGATGAAAAATTGTGACAGAATATAAGTGATTGAAATTGAAATTTCGTTCGAATCGACGTTTAGGTGGATTTCTTTCATTTTTTTTTTTTTGAGTTTCAAGAGTGATGTTCTGGTGTGGTCGGTTATGTAACGTGGAGCTATAGGAGGGCTTTCGATTGTCCAGAACTGGCGCACTTTAGGCTACCTCTGAATTCTCACGTCCTGGATTATATACGTGTATAGTTGACGAGTATTACGTTCTTACAGCGAGTACTACACGATTCGTTAGAATTTATAATTATTCGCAAATTCATTGTTTCAGTGATTAGTTGAGTGTTGAACAATTCTGAGTTTTTCTCGTGATAACTTAAAGTTCGTGTAATTTTTATCGAGTTATCAAAATATACGAGATTCCAGACTGAATCGTTTCATTTTCAGTATCTTAATAATTTTCTAACGACTATTTTTCTTCAAAGTCGGTAAGTGTATTCTCGAGGTTGTTTCTTCTGGATGAATAATTGTGAGGTCGTTTTTCTCTTTGTTCTTTGAGGGGCTAGTGCCGGATGTTGTCGAGAAGTCGTTGCAGTGGAAAAGGCTAGAGTAAAGAACGAATTTTTGTGCTTTAATTGTGAGGAAGTTTTGAGTGCAATTTTCAGAGTATTTCAACCATCAGTGTTTCAAAATTTTTAATTCTTTTCTCAAAATCACCCCTAAATTCTTTACTCATTCGCCTAATTTCGTAAAAATTAATTGTATTAAATAATCGTGAGAAGCTCGAAGCTTGCAAGTATCCTGGTTTCCGCTGGAGTTGCGTTGAATCGACGTGTCAAAATCTTCAACATCGTAATCTCTCATCCGTCTGCTTTCGTTAATGTTAATTAGGTCAAAAAATCGCGAGAAACACGAAGCTCTGAAATATTCTGGATTTCCGATGAAATTGTGTTAAATTAAAGTGATCGAACCGCGATTAATAATCCAGGGGGAATCGTGGCGGGTCGAGTGACCGAGTAATGCTCCACCCGCGGTGTATACCTCGTATGCGATCGATATATTCCCTTTTAAACAGCTCGTGCACCGTGCTGCGCCTGATTTCTTTATCGCCTGTCCGTGCGAGTAACCGCGTCGCTGACAAGTTCGCGCGTATCGGGGTAGGAACCTCCTTTCGCTTATCAGCGAATCCATTGATAAGGCCAATTGCACGTTGCAACGCCGTTTTTCTCATATGTGATTTCCTGGGATAATTGCACCTGCGGAAAATTTGTTGTATTTTTCATTTTAATGTTTATGGGGATCCAAAGTTCAGAGTCCAAAAGTCCAAAAGTCCAAAATCTATATGTCAAAAGTCCAACCACAGAGTCCAAAGTTTAGAGTCCAAAGTCCAGGGTCCAAAATCCATATTTCGGGGGTCCAAATTTTGGAGTCCAAAAGTTCAAAGTTTGTGGCAAGATTTTTATAAGAGCTGTTACTAGGAGTTATCAGGATTTGGTATTTTTAGGTGAGAAATTTGCATGTTTAGGGTTAAAAAAATGGGAATACTGTATTTTTAGTGGAGATAGGTGGTCTTACGTGGTGGTTAACCTTGGTAAATGACGACCTTTTCTAGTTTGTACTCTACGTTCACACGATCGCGATTCCCTTTCTGGGTCAATCGATACGCTCCCTTTTCAAACTTCACGGTAATATGTATTTATATGATTCTCCTGGCCAAATCGTTGTGTTTGCTCTTCTTTTATAGGCATCCCTGAAAATCGAGTGGAAGAGAGTAGATGCTTTTTTGCGATGATGCCAGAAATTGAAAACTGAAAGGAGATATCGGAAATGTTAATGGAAATATGAATACTTGCGAATTATTTGCAAACTTTCTTTGTTAAAAATTTATTATTTAGAGTTCGAAGATTGGGATCTAAAGTTCAGAATTTTCTAAGATACAAAGGTCCACATATCCAAAGACCACAGTTCTAAGTTTCCAGGCATCCAAAAATCCAAAGATTCCAGAGCTATCAAAAATCCGGAGGTCCGAAGTCTCAAATTCTCAGGAGTCCAAATTTTCTAAAAATTCTAAGAATCACTAAAAGTTCAATCTTCAGCATTCAAAGTTCAGAGTTCAACGTACAGAGTGTCAGGAGTCCAAGGCTTAGAATCCAAAGTCCAGTGTCCCAAATCCATACTGAAAAGTCCAAAGTTTATATTCCCAAAAGCCAAGGTCCATTTTCCAAAGGTTCGAACTTTCTATTCCACAAGAACGTTCAGAGTCCAAGGGTCCAAAATCCGTATACCAGAGTCCAACCACCACAGTCCTAAATCCACGATCCAAAAGTCCAATTTGCAGAGTCCAAAACCTTTCTGTCCAGCCTCTCCGAGCACCAAATTCTCTCCTCGTAACTCTCAAAATCAATCACGAATCGACTCGAAATCTTGAAAATATCTTTCAACACCTTCGTGTCCAAACTCTCGCAGCCGTCGCAGACGACGGACTGTTGGACGTGCCGCGTCCCGACGCGCTTCTAAATCCCGTTTGCTCCCCGTAATCGTACCGGAGGCCTAGTTTCTAACTTGCATCACGTGACGAAGAGAGGAGTCCACTCGCGGGTTGTCTCGTTGGAAATTGAAATATTCCACTGTTTAACGCGGCCCAGTCGCTAGACATCCTCTGCCGCGGCCACATTAGCGTTAGGAGGTTCCCTTGGCCAACAGAGATCGCGTTCCGTCTGACGGGCACGAGCGGATTTTCGGTTTCCCTCGCTGCGGATGTGTTTAATCTGGTAAGTCTAGACTCCGTCATTGTCCACCCTTCTTCACCACCTCTCAGCCTCCGATCTTTAACGAACCTGTTCCTTCTTCAGTCTGTTTCTTAATTTGCCTCTTCTCGATCTATTCTTTCTCTCTCCTCTCTTACGGCTCATGCAGAAACGTGGATCGTGTAACGTTCCAAGAGTTGGGTTTAAAGTTTCTTCAAAATTCCTGCGAAAATCCAGCCAGAAGTGTTTCGTTTAGTCTGAAATCTGTTCAATATTTCTGTCAGTTTTTCTCGGTTTCTTTGGGTTTGAAATTTTTCGAAAAATTGTGACTCGGAACGACAAATTTGAGAATTCAGAGTATTGTTACTCTACTCGGAGTATTTTCTCTTTCTGTATGTTACTCGCGATGATATTACCAGTGATTGGTGATAGGTACTTACGCATTGTACGTCAAGAATAAGAGAGAGAGATTCGATGCTGTTAAATCCAATCTGGAGTAGTGTTAGCACCCTAATAAAAACGTTATAAACGGTAATTGATTGGTGAAATATATGAACTTGTATCGAGTTAAGGCTGCAACTCTGTATTTCCTAATGATTCTTACTGTTCGTCCAATTCTTTACGACGCGTTGTCAAATTCAATATTGCACATGAATTATCGAAAGATTGGACATTTTTACTGTGAAATTTTCAGGTGAATTTAATCCAATTCAACTTTATCAGTGCAAAGTGTTTCAGAAAAATTTTGACACTTATGTGCAAGTAACTTTTTTTTACAGAAATAAAAACGATAACGCAATACTTCACCTAAAGTTTCCACTTGTTCGTCGTTATATTCTGTTTTCGCAAAGAAGAGGAAAGTGTTAATATTTTTTTAAGCACCCTGTATACCAAAAACAATATTGAAATGTTGAAAACGTAAAATCGTGATTCAAAGAGGGATAATCGGTGGTCGATATGATGTCATGCCAATTGAAATGGACAAGCTGTTCAACTATTGCATAACTGTCCCCTCATCGATCTTAATAATGCTTACTTCGCTACATTTCCAATGAAACAATGAAAAATACAGGTCATTCGACGAAGAAACGAGAAGTATCCCTTGGATTCCTCTCGAAATTGCATTTTCACTGATTTTCTCTCATTCGTCGATTCATTGTTTGGGAGAAAATTGAGTCGAATGCGAATCTGTAGAATGGAGAGTTTGGATAGTTTATGCAAATCTTTGTTAATTGAAAATTTAGTGAAACTTTTCCTAAAATTTCGTGTCTATTCTAAGTTAGATTCAGGTGAATCTCTAAGGAAGAAAATTACTAATTATACTTAAAAAATGACTGGAAGTAGTAGAAAATGAAAATTAGTCTCAAATATTTATGTTCCACTTAAAGTTCCTTGACTCGTTCCACTTCAACCTTCTCAAAGTATTTTCATCGCATTTGAGGTTCGCAGTTCGATAAATTGACCTTGCAATTCCATTAAAACACCCCTAAAAAAAAATTCATTTCAATTTACTCATGCTTCAATTCAGAAAAAGAATTAATCGAACCGTCGATCGACTTAAATTTGACGAAGCATTGGAAAATTTCAGTTCCTCAAGTCAAATCTAAAAGAATCTCATCTGCAAGACAGCCTTTAAATTTGAATTCAATTAATCCGTGTAATATCAGAGAAATAATTCGAAATCGAAAGATTGATCCAATTAAAATTTGAGAAAATTTGAAGAAAAAATTTCTGGACGAAAAATTGGAAATTTTCCGGGATTGAGGAATCTCTGAGTGCACCTAGGCGCTTTATTTAATCAGGTGGCAGAAGATTCTCGTGGTGTAAAATTAGCGGACGCGTAAATATATATGACATTGTTTCGGGGCTGTGCGTTGACGAGCCGTTTGACGTGTTCCCCTAATGCACTCTGAGGAAGTAAGAATTAGGAGATCGATTACTATACTTAAGCCGCGTCGAGCTGCATTCGACGTGAGGGCGTCGTTCAAGTAGCCAAAGGTGACGCCATTTTCTCTCTATGCCCAAAAATTCCCTCGTTTATTTATGCTATCAGTATGTCACCTGACATTTTTATTAAATAAACTGCCCTCTTTAATTACTCTAGCTAAGATCTGAGAAAAAATGAGGTTTTTCAATTTTGTATCATATGTAAAAGTTGGGATATGGAAATTAGAAGATTTGTGGAATTCTAGACACTTTGTTTAACCCTTTCGTGACTGAATTGTTTTTTCAAGAATTTATTATTTGTTATTTTTTAGTAGTGGGTATTAACTTATTTACTTGTTGATAGTAAAATACTATCAGTTTTGTTTGAGTATTCATATGGGATGTGTCTCAATCTTTGGAGAAAAGTGTCGGAAATAAAAAAATTTTCAATTTTCGTTTCATTGCTGGAATATTTTTTGTAATTCGTAGATTTACTATAAGAAGAAATGTTTGAAGTTGAACTATAATGCTTCAAGTGAGTTTCATAATTCTGAAATTAAGCAATTCTCTAAACGGAAATTTTCTTTCCACTCTTCCCAAAAATTTCATATTTTCCACTTGTGACAATTTCCAAAGGTGTGGAAAATCTAAGAATTTTCACGTTAACTTAGACTCAGAATACTGTAACTAAGTAATTTTCTCTTCACTTTTCCCAAAAATTTCGCACTTTCCACTTATGACAATTTTTTCCCAGAGATATGAAAAATTCTGAGATTTTCCACGTTAACTTAGATTCAGAATACTGTAACTAAGTAATTTTCTCTTCACTCTCCCCAAAAATTTCATATTTTCCTCTTATGAAAATTTTCTCCCAGAGATGTGAAAAGTTCTAAGATTTTTCATGTCAATTTAAATTCAGAATACTGTAATTAAGTAATTTTCTTTTCTTCTCAAAAATTTAGCGCTTTCCACTTGTGACAATTTGCCAAAGTGTGAAAAATCTAAGGATTTTCACGTTAACTTAAACTCAGAATACTGTAACTAAGTAATTTTCTCTTCACTCTCCCCAAAAATTTCATATTTTCCTCTTATGAAAATTTTCTCCCAGAGATGTGAAAAGTTCTAAGATTTTTCATGTCAATTTAAATTCAGAATACTGTAATTAAGTAATTTTCTTTTCTTCTCAAAAATTTAGCGCTTTCCACTTGTGACAATTTGCCAAAGTGTGAAAAATCTAAGGATTTTCACGTTAACTTAAACTCAGAATACTGTAACTAAGTAATTTTCTCTTCACTCTCCCCAAAAATTTCATATTTTCCGCTTATGAAAATTTTCTCCCAGAGATGTGAAAAGTTCCAGGATCTTTCCACACAATTCCCAAGTTACTGTACTTCGAAAATTTAAGGGTTGATATTTAAGCGGCAATTAAAATCAAACGTGACATTTCAATTCGACGTTTCATGTTACACGACCCAATAAATACTTGCCGCAATTTCCTACGATCGTGCAACGATCACGACAACAAATCGTCCGTCAATTGGCGCAAGGATATCCTTCGAATTACTGAAACGTTTGTTTTTTACGATCGTTTCGCCGATCTTAATCGAGTGATACGGGTTCACGTGTGGCGACAGCAACGTTGATAAGCTTGAACTTGCCAGACGTTCCACGAGCGCCGCTTAGTCGTCCGGCTTCTGATTGCGTAACTTAATCGTTCAGCTACGATTTTAACCTAATTGTTTTCTTCGTGACTCTGCTTTCGGATTCTGGGCTCGCGTTACTTCGTCCGTTTCCATCGGCCAACCTCGTCCTCCGCCGGACGAAATCAATTAGCATCGATTGAGCTAATCTGCTAATCGAAATCTATGGATTTGTCCAAAATGAGATGTCGTTTTAATCGAACCAACCGTATTCGGTCCAATTTTTATATCCATTCTCTTCGACGAATTGTCGTTTATTCGAGGGAATATATTTGCGGTCAAATTTTTCTTCATTTTTAATCGAATTTGATCTCACTTTAATTTTCAAGATTTTTTTGTCGAGCTATATTTCATTTTTAAAATTTCTCGTTTGAAATATATTAAAATAAGGAGCGCTATTCCTATCTTCATTATTTCGCAATTTTCGATAATAATAGATTCGACACATTTCCCTTTGCAAGATTTTTCGCCAAGGTATATTTCATTTTTAAAGAAATTTATGGTAAATAATGAGAATTTCTTATTTCAAATATACTAAAATAAGGAGCACTATTTCTATTTTAATTACTCCACAATTTTCGATAATAATAGATTCAACTCGGACAAATTTAATTTAACAAAAATTAACTTCACAATTTTCACCAGTTTTCCCTGAAGAGTATTTCACTTGGACAGAAATTTATTCTAAATAATTAAAATTTGATTAATAGATTCTCAAGTTCCTCGTTTAAATTTTCATCCGACAGGAAAGTTCCAATATATCGATATTCAATTTTTCACACACATACTCTCTTTCTCTCTTTCTTCTGTCCATCACGAAGCCTGTCAAGAAGATTGTCAACGCGAGACAATACAGGGTCATTACAGTTCGCGAACTTTTTCGGTGTGAACGTTCGCGCGGGCAGCGTATTAATAGCGAGAACACAATGTCAATGACCAAATGAAATTGTTAACCAGCCGGCCGGTGGCTGTTACAACGGTCAGAATGCCGCTTTGTACACGATAATAAGCACCATTGACATAGATAAGTGGAGCGCCGAATTTAACTTGTCGCGCGAGACGAGGCTATGTCAAGGATCCGTGCGTCGCGACGTCCATTTCAACTTCGTCCGACGTCTCGCGAGCCTCTTCTTGCATCCGTGCATTCCTATAATCCTTCGTCTATCTCATTTTTTTTTAATTACATTTTTCTGGAAATGAATTTCGATATTTGTGATTTTTTTTAAATTTCTGTAGAAACTAAATTTTAAGTTCGAAATTTCAGTGATTTTGCAGGAATTCTGTTCAACGCAGGACTAATTTTGGTATTTTATTTAATTTTGTGACTTTTTTCCTTCGTTATTATATTTTCGTAGAAATGAATTTCGAAATTTGGGTGATTTTTGTAAAAACTAAATTTTAAGTTCAAAGTTTCAGTGATTTTGCAGGAATTGAGTTCACCACAGGATTAATTTTGGTATTTTACATAATTTCGTGAATTTCTTTCTTCATTATTTTGTTTTTCCAGAAAGAAAATTAAAAGTTTGAAGTTTTTCAGCGAATTTCGTATGAATTGTGTTTGCCATTGGATTACTTTCCATATATTTTCCGTGTGACTGTGTTAGGAAAGTGTTCTTCAGTTTCTACTTAAGAATTTTTTGATACATTTTTCGTATTTTGTATGTATTTAGGAATGATTCCTGGGTTTTACGTACGCAACAGTTGGTACATTGGTTCACGAGGATTTTATCATACGATCGTCTCACCACGAATGATCATTATTCAATCAAAGGGAAATCGTGCACCAGTTCAAGCATTCTAGCCTCTGTTCTCTACGCTTCATATGCTAATTAGATAATGATTTCCTTATTTCTGAATGTTTTCGCGTGTCGGAGAATCAGTGCGCGTTACCATTATGTGGACGAAAGAAGATTCTCTGAAAAATTCAAATTCCGTCTATAGATCCTTCTCTTTAACGACTCTTCAATTATTTTTCTATGATTTAATATTTTAACATATCCTTTCAAATTCTCCCATGACAAATTCTAAGTTTCAAAAAGGGAGTCTGACACTTTTCAGAGAATCTCTTTAGATCAAAGCTTCGACTCAAATCTCACAGAAAATATATGCAAAGGAATGTTAAATTTTTTCCCGTAACACAAAAATTTCTATATGACCTCTTAACTTCCCTTTAAATTCTCCAATGACACAAAATTCTAATTTTCCAAAAGGGACTCTGATGCTTTCCTCAGAAATCCTTATATCAAAGCTTCGACTCAATTTTCCTCCAAAATATACGCAAAGGGAGATCAAATATTTTTCTTCCAATTTCGAAGTGACACTATGGAAAAGATTTGAACCTCCCAAAAGGGAGTCTTAAATTTTCCCCAAAATCTCTTCAGATCAAAGCTCCAACTCAAATCTTCAAAATATACGCAAAGGAAGATGAAACATTTTCCTTCCAATTTCCCAGCGACACTATGGAAAAGATTCTAATCGCCAAAAAGCGAAGTCTGTAATTTTCCCTAAAATCTCCTCCGACCAAAGCTTCGACTCAATTCTCCTCCAAAATATACGCAAAGGAAGATCAAATATTTTCCTTCCAGTTTCCCAGCGACACTATGGAAAAGATTCTAACCTCCGAAAAGGGAGTCTTAAATTTTCCCCAAAATCTCCTTCGAAATATGCGCAAAGGAAGACGAAACGTTTTCCTTCCAATTTCCCAGCGACACTATGGAAAAGATTCTAACCTCCGAAAAGCGAAGTCTGTAACTTTCCCCAGAAAGTTCTCCGATCAAAGGGCAACGAAAACGAGTTGTTCATCCCGATTGCATTAATTCTAAGCGATGACCGCGCGGAAGATTTCGAACGATCGCGTGGAAACCTTTCGGTACGGTTTCGAAGGGAGACGATGAAACGAACGTGGGTCAATTGATCTACGTAGAAGTGAGAACGCAAGCTTGGTTGCTTGCTTGCGTGCTATATAACCTTCAGTAAGTTAACTACACGTTTGACCTCAATGCAATAATTAAGAGCAATCAGTTGGCGAAAGAATGTGCTAAAGCTACGCGCGTCGTTGCTCGCTAGCCGAACAGATTCGCAATGATGAATCGCCATTTTTATCCCGTCTTCGGTTTGCTCTATATCCGCCAATTGATTAGGAAGACTGATAAGCCAGATCTGGGTCGACACTATGATCCTGACGTGTTTAAAATCGTGATCTTCCGCGAACAGGATCCTGACCCTGCGTATTTCTCATGGGGTTCTCCTTCGGCTTTCTCGTCTACTATATCTCTGTGATATAATTGACATAAACGAGAGGTTCGAGGGGGTGCGAGGGGTTCAGGACGAAGAATTTATTTCTGTAACGATACTCGGTAACTGTGGAATTTTCCTATGGATCTTAGTTCGCTTGAATGAATCGTAGATGAGATTGTGGACGTTCTTGGATGTGCGACGCTGTAGATCGTGATTCGAGAATAGAGATCGAGTTTAAATTTCATTCGTTAATGCAATATATGGAACGAGAGGTTCGAGGGGGTGCGAGGGGTTCAGGACGAAGAATTTATTTCTGTAACGATACTCGGCAACTGTGGAATTTTCCTATGGATCTTAGTTCGCTTGAATGAATCGTAGATGAGATTGTGGACGTTCTTGGATCTGCGACGCTGTAGATCGTGATTCGAGAATAGAGATCGAGTTTAAATTTCATTCGTTAATGCAATATATGGGGTAATTTGGAGATTGTAGATTATTGCAATAGTATCGAGTAATTGAGGAGTAAAAAATTTCGAGTACAGTATTATAAATCATTGTTCGAGAATAGAGACAGAGTTTAAATTTCATTCGTTAATTGAATATATGGAGTAATCAATTTTGGGATTGTAAATTATTGCAATACCATAGAGTAATTGGGGAATCAAAAATTGGGAGTATAGTATTCTAAACGACGATTCTAAAGTAGCGACCGAATCTCAAATTTCATTCGTTAATTGAGAATTGTAGATTTGTGAATAAAATTTTGGGGATTGTAGATTGGGGAATAAAAAATTTTTGAGATAGCGATGTTAATCGCGGTTTGGAAGATTATTGTAATTGAGGGGTAACAAATTTGGAGTATAGTATTCTAAACGATGATTCCAAAGTAGCGATCGAATCTCAAATTTTATTCGTTAATTGAGAATTGTAGATTTGTGAATGAAAAATTGAGACAGTGATGTAAATCACGGTTTTGGGAACAGAGACCGATTAGATTTTTGCAGCGATCAATTTGGAGATTCTAGATCACTGTAATACAGAGTAATTGACGAATAAAGAGTTACGAATACGGAATTATAAATTATTATTGGAGGGTTAGAGGTCGAATAGATTTTCGTTGATTAATTGAACGTGTGATAAAACGTTTGGATATTTTCCAGGGGGGTTCCTTTGTCGACAAATCGAATTCATCAGTTACCTTTCTTGTTGAGAAACTACAGAAGTGGCAGGAAAGATTGATCGACGGAAGACGAAATGGAGAACGCAAAGGAGGAGACGATAAATATGCAGCTGATCGGCTCGGAGAGTCCGTACAAGTACGTCTTATTCTACTTAAGAATTTCTTCAGCCGAAGGATATCGTTTATATCGAAATTCAGTGAAATTTTCGCAAACATTTTTGCCAAACTTTCAAGGCTGAATTGACTTCGAATAGAATTTTCTCGTGGAAATGAATGAAAAACAATTGTAACGTTAAATTTAGTGTTTATTAACGTTTCTTTAGTTATTTTACAGAATTGTATTTTCATTGAGAAAATGTTGCAATTCTGTGCGTGTATTATTGATGTGTAGTTGAAAAGGTAGAAAAGAAACGATGCTTCGAAATTCGACAAATAAAGGCTAGGGGACGACGATTACATTTGCAAATTGATACGGTTGCAGAGTTAATAATGAAATCGCCGGAAGTGGTCTAAATGCATCGGAAGTCCCAATATCGCCGACTACAAACGTAGAAGACTACGACCCCCATAAACATCGAAATAGGCCGAATCCAACTTCGTAAGTACTCCAATAATCCCTAATCGATATTTCCATTAATGAAGAAACCTTCTTCCAAATTAATACATGTATCTAATTAACCATATACGCTTCTAATTGTGACCTACTATCAAATACCAAAATCCAAAAGAAACTATTCTTCGAAATTCCAAAATTTCCAAAATGAAATCCTTCTATGGAAGAAAAATTAAATTCCAATCTAACGTGTTATCAAATACCGAAATCCAAAAAGAAATATTCTTCGAAACTCCAAAATTTCTAAATTTGTGAAATCCTCTTGAGAAAGAGAAAAATCAAATTCCAGTCTAACGTATTATCGAATACCGAAATCCAAAAAGAAATATTCTTCGAAACTCCAAAATTTCCAAATTTCTGAAATCCTTTTTAGAAAAAGATATCAAATTCCAATATAATGAAATACCAAAATCGAAAAAGAAATATTCTTCGAAACTCCAAAATTTCCGAATTGATAAAATCTTCCTGAGAAAGAAAAAAAAGTCAAATTGTAATCTAACCCACTATCAAACACGAAAATCCAAAAGAAAATATTCTTCTAAACTCGAAAATTTCAAAATTTACGAAATCCTGAAAAATAAGAAAAAATCAAGTTCCAATATTTTCCAATTTATTCCACTCTCTAAAAACTCAACTTTTTCCAGCAAAATTTCAAATAAATCGAACAAGATCACGACACGTTTGGAATTTTCAGAAACGCGGAGACTTTGATACATTTGCTGAAAGGAAGTCTTGGCACAGGGATTCTCGCGATGCCAAACGCCTTCTGCAACAGTGGGCTAATTACCGGTGTTATCGCCACAGTAATCATAGGGATGTTGTGCACTTACTGCTTGCACGTACTAGTGAGAGCTCAGTATAGACTGTGTAAACGGTTAAGAGTTCCTATACTGAGTTATCCGCAGAGCATGAAATACGCTCTCCAGGAAGGGCCCGGTTGTGTCCGATGGTTCGCGCCCTACGCACCGTAAGTACGACTCATTGCACGCCTCTACATACTTAACACTCACATTCTGACTCATACATCCACCAACAGGCATCGTATCTCTCTTCCCTTCGCTTTAACTCTATCTTATTTTCTTTCTCTCTCGCTACAGTAACGTTGAACTTAAATTCCGGCGAATTTTTCGAGGACAGTATTCCGATCGGGTAGACTATATTAACTTTGTGTTGTGATAAAGCTAAATTAAATGGTATTATTAGCTGTATTATTAAAACGGTTAGAGGTGGAAAAATGTTTCAGTCGTATTAATGCACGGTAGAAATTTTATTAATTTTTAATTAATTTTAAAGATGTAGCTCTGTCGAGTGTGAGTTAGAGTATAAGGGAACGCTTAAACGATGAAATTTTAGGCTTTCAAAAGGGTTAGAAGGATTAACGGAGGTTTCTTAATTCATTAATGCCGAAATTATTTTTTTTTATACTTAATGTTTAACAGTGTGATAAAATAAATTTGTAATTTACAGTTTAACAATGAATTAAAAATGAAAGTGTTGTCAAAAAAAGAACACCGAGCGTTGATGTGTTAATGAGTATTGCAAAGTACTCGGTGTCTGATCATAACTGACTGATTCTACTTACTCCTCGCTCTATCTCCCTAGATACGTACATTTTGGGGTAATTTTGAATATCGAATTGAATGAAAATGTGCTTATTAAAATTGAGAGTGTCTTTTACACTATTCTATGGAGATTTTTAGTATCACTTGAATTAATAACTGAAATATCACAGAAGATTGATAATACTAACGAAGAGTTACTGCAGCAAGATGTTAATATTTTATTTTCAAAATATAAATAGTCTAATTCGAATTTGAAAAGATACTCCACGTCTCTCTAATCTTCTACTATCTTTTAATTCTAATTCACGAAAAATTGACAAGCAGTTCATCACAGATCACACAAAGCACCCACAAAGTATATCACCTCACCTAACAGCGACCATCTCTCGCCTACCTCTTTCAGCTGTAACATGAAAGTTGCTATTATATTTGCAGAGGACTCGTAGACGGGTTCATGATTGTGTATCAATTGGGAATATGCTGCGTTTATATCGTATTTGTAGCGTCGAATATCAAGCAGGTAAATAGCTGGTGCGAAAAAAGAGAGAAAAGAGAAATCATGCAGAAAAAATCTTACGAACCGTTTTCCTCTTCTTGTAGAAGAAAAAAAAAAAAAGAACGATCGACCCAACCAACGAATAAACCAATGAACCTGTATAAAATGACAATTAAAAGAAAAGAGATGAAAAAAATTTTTTAAAAATTCATCGATTGGATATTGTTCATTGATATTAATTTCTGTTTCTTCTTTTTCTTATTCTGTTGGTGAACACAGGTGGCCGATCAGTATTGGGAACCGTTGGACGTTAAAACGCACATGCTGATTTTATTGCTACCGTTGATTTTGATCAATTACGTTAGAAATCTGAAGTTGCTGGCGCCGTTTTCTACCTTGGCGAACGCGATCACGTTCGTTGGACTGGCGATGATTTTAGTTTATATGTTTGACGATCTACCGTCGCCTAGCGAGAGAGAAATGTTCGGTACACTGAGAAATTTCTCGCTCTATTTCGGTACGACGCTGTTCGCGCTGGAAGCTGTCGGGGTGGTAAGTTTGTCACGTGTATTTTTTAGTTTTGTTGTGAGAATTGTAGTTGGAGTTAAAAATTGGGAATATTAATAATTTCGTATATTTAAAATTTTTCATTTTTAATATTCCTCATTTTTGAATTTGGATACTCTTAATTTT